GCCACTTGATACTGAGAGTTCCGCAGGGAAGTGTCCTTGGACCCCTGCTCTTCCTCATTTACATCAGTGATCTTCCAAACATATCCCAACACCTGAAACCCATTCTCTTTGCTGATGACACGACTTATGTCATCTCCCACCCTAATCTTGCCACCCTCAACACCATTGTTAATGAGGAGCTGCTCAAAATATCGACTTCAATGACAGCCAATAAACTTACACTTAACACTGGCAAAGCCTACTATATTATGTTTGGTAGCAGAGCAGGTGTTGCGCAACTTAACATTAAGATCGACAACACTCTAATTGCCAGACATAATGAGGGCAAATTACTTGGCCTATACCTTGACAACAACCTAAATTTCAGCACCCATATCCAACACATAACAAAAAAAAAAGTATCCAAAATGGTGGGGATCCTCTCCAAGATACGATACTACGTGCCGCAAACTGCCCTTCTCATACTATACCATTCACTTGTATTTCCATGCCTCACCTATGCTATCTGTGCTTGGGGTTCAACTGCAGCAACACACCTAAAGCCAATAATAACCCAACAAAAAGCCGCAATAAGAATAATCACTAAATCCCATCCCTGGCAACACGCCCCCCCACTCTTCATAGATCTAAACTTACTCCCTTTTCAGAACATCCACACTTACTACTGTGCAATCTATATCTACAGGACCTTAAATTCCAATATTAACCTTGACCTAAAATGCTTTCTTGATAGTTGTGACAGGATCCACAGCCATTACACCAGACACAAACATCTCTATGACATTCCCCGTGTTTGACTAAATTTTTTATTTTTTATTATCACACTGGCCGATTCCCACCAAGGCAGGGTGGCCCGAAAAAGAAAAACTTTCACCATCATTCACTCCATCACTGTCTTGCCAGAAGGGTGCTTTACACTACAGTTTTTAAACTGCAACATTAACACCCCTCCTTCAGAGTGCAGGCACTGTACTTCCCATCTCCAGGACTCAAGTCCGGCCTGCCGGTTTCCCTGAATCCCTTCATAAATGTTACTTTGCTCACACTCCAACAGCACGTCAAGTATTAAAAACCATTTGTCTCCATTCACTCCTATCAAACACGCTCACGCATGCCTGCTGGAAGTCCAAGCCCCTCGCACACAAAACCTCCTTTACCCCCTCCCTCCAACCCTTCCTAGGCCGACCCCTACCCGCCTTCCTTCCACTACAGACTGATACACTCTTGAAGTCATTCTGTTTCGCTCCATTCTCTCTACATGTCCGAACCACCTCAACAACCCTTCCTCAGCCCTCTGGACAACAGTTTTGGTAATCCGCACCTCCTCCTAACTTCCAAACTACGAATTCTCTGCATTATATTCACACCACACATTGCCCTCAGACATGACATCTCCACTGCCTCCAGCCTTCTCCTCGCTGCAACATTCATCACCCACGCTTCACACCATATAAGAGCGTTGGTAAAACTATACTCTCATACATTCCCCTCTTTGCCTTCAAGGACAAAGTTCTTTGTCTCCACAGACTCCTAAGTGCACCACTCACTCTTTTTCCCTCATCAATTCTATGATTCACCTCATCTTTCATAGACCCATCCGCTGACACGTCCACTCCCAAATATCTGAATACATTCACCTCCTCCATACTCTCTCCCTCCAATCTGATATTCAATCTTTCATCACCTAATCTTTTTGTTATCCTCATAACCTTACTCTTTCCTGTATTCACCTTTAATTTTCTTCTTTTGCACACCCTACCAAATTCATCCACCAATCTCTGCAGCTTCTCTTCAGAATCTCCCAAGAGCACAGTGTCATCAGCAAAGAGCAGCTGTGACAACTCCCACTTTGTGTGTGATTCTTTATCTTTTAACTCCACGCCTCTTGCCAAGCCCTCGCATTTACTTCTCTTACAACCCCATCTATAAATATATTAAACAACCACGGTGACATCACACATCCTTGTCTAAGGCCTACTTTTACTGGGAAAAAATTTCCCTCTTTCCTACATACTCTAACTTGAGCCTCACTATCCTCGTAAAAACTCTTCACTGCTTTCAGTAACCTACCTCCTACACCATACACTTGCAACATCTGCCACATTGCCCCCCTATCCACCCTGTCATACGCCTTTTCCAAATCCATAAATGCCACAAAGACCTCTTTAGCCTTATCTAAATACTGTTCACTTATATGTTTCACTGTAAACACCTGGTCCACACACCCCCTACCTTTCCTAAAGCCTCCTTGTTCATCTGCTATCCTATTCTCCGTCTTACTCTTAATTCTTTCAATTATAACTCTACCATACACTTTACCAGGTACACTCAACAGACTTATCCCCCTATAATTTTTGCACTCTCTTTTATCCCCTTTGCCTTTATACAAAGGAACTATGCATGCTCTCTGCCAATCCCTAGGTACCTTACCCTCTTCCATACATTTATTAAATAATTGCACCAACCACTCCAAAACTATATCCCCACCTGCTTTTAACATTTCTATCTTTATCCATCAATCCCGGCTGCCTTACCCCCTTTCATTTTACCTACTGCCTCACAAACTTCCCCCACACTCACAACTGGCTCTTCCTCACTCCTACAAGATGTTATTCCTCCTTGCCCTATACACGAAATCACAGCTTCCCTATCTTCATCAACATTTAACAATTCCTCAAAATATTCCCTCCATCTTCCCAATACCTCTAACTCTCCATTTAATAACTCTCCTCTCCTATTTTTAACTGACAAATCCATTTGTTCTCTAGGCTTTCTTAACTTGTTAATCTCACTCCAAAACTTTTTCTTATTTTCAACAAAATTTGTTGATAACATCTCACCCACTCTCTCATTTGCTCTCTTTTTACATTGCTTCACCACTCTCTTAACCTCTCTCTTTTTCTCCATATACTCTTCCCTCCTTGCATCACTTCTACTTTGTAAAAACTTCTCATATGCTAACTTTTTCTCCCTTACTACTCTCTTTACATCATCATTCCACCAATCGCTCCTCTTCCCTCCTGCACCCACTTTCCTGTAACCACAAACTTCTGCTGAACACTCTAACACTACATTTTTAAACCTACCCCATACCTCTTCGACCCCATTGCCTATGCTCTCATTAGCCCATCTATCCTCCAATAGCTGTTTATATCTTTCCCTAACTGCCTCCTCTTTTAGTTTATAAACCTTCACCTCTCTCTTCCCTGATGCTTCTATTCTCCTTGTATCCCATCTACCTTTTACTCTCAGTGTAGCTACAACTAGAAAGTGATCTGATATATCTGTGGCCCCTCTATGAACATGTACATCCTGAAGTCTACTCAACAGTCTTTTATCTACCAATACATAATCCAACAAACTACTGTCATTTCGCCCTACATCATATCGTGTATACTTATTTATCCTCTTTTTCTTAAAATATGTATTACCTATAACTAAACCCCTTTCTATACAAAGTTCAATCAAAGGGCTCCCATTATCATTTACACCTGGCACCCCAAACTTAACTACCACACCCTCTCTAAAAGTTTCTCCTACTTTAGCATTTAGGTCCCCTACCACAATTACTCTCTCACTTGGTTCAAAGGCTCCTGTACATTCACTTAACATCTCCCAAAATCTCTCTCTCTCCTCTGCATTCCTCTCTTCTCCAGGTGCATACACGCTTATTATGACCCACTTCTCGCATCCAACCTTTACTTTAATCCACATAATTCTTGAATTTACACATTCATATTCTCTTCTCTCCTTCCATAACTGATCATTTAACATTACTGCTACCCCTTCCTTTGCTCTAACTCTCTCAGATACTCCAGATTTAATTCCATTTATTTCCCCCACTGAAACTCTCCTACCCCCTTCAGCTTTGTTTCGCTTAGAGCCAGGACATCCAACTTCTTTTCATTCATAACATCAGCAATCATCTGTTTCTTGTCATCCGCACTACATCCACGCACATTTAAGCATCCCAGTTTTATAAAGTTTTTCTTCTTCTCTTTTTTAGTAAATGTATACAGGAGAAGGGGTTACTAGCCCATTGCTCCCGGCATTTTAGTCGCCTCATACGACACGCATGGCTTACGGAGGAAAGATTCTTTTCCACTTCCCCATGGACAATAGAAGAAATAAAAAGAACAAGAGCTATTTAGAAAAGGGAGAAAAACCTAGATGTATGTATATATATATATGCATGTGCGTGTCTGTGAAGTGTGACCAAAGTGTAAGTAGGAGTAGCAAGATATCCCTGTTATCTAGCGTGTTTATGAGACAGAAAAAGAAACCAGCAATCCTACCATCATGCAAAACAGTTACAGGTTTTTGTTTCACAGTCATCTGGCAGGACGGTAGTACTTCCCTGGGTGGTTGCTGTCTACCAACCTACTACCTAAACCTTTACAAAAATTCAATGTATTTCAAAGGACCTAAACTCTGGAACACCCTACCTGAAAACTCTAAAACTGCAGACACATTCATCACTTTCAAAACTACAGTTAGAAAACATCTTATCTCCCTGATCCACCCCGACAACTAACTACATGATAACCACCTGGTGGTTCACATTCACACTCAATCACCCACTGACTATAAACCCAGAAATACTAATCTTAATCTTAAAATAATGAATCCTAACTAGTCATAAGTTTGCCTATGATACTCCAATATAGACACTTTGTATTGTGCCAAAACAAAAGCATTCACATTGCTAAACTCACAAATTATGATGTAGCCACTTAGCCTTAATACCATAATCTGTAAGGATTTAATGTTAAGAATTAATCTAAGTCTGCTCGAAATGCCTAGCCATGCTAGGTGTCCTAGTGGCCCCCTCTGTAATTAGTATTTTATAACATGTAAACCACACAATACCCAAAACCTGTAAATCCCACATTGTAACCTTTATAGAGAATAAACTTGAATTGAATTGAATTTATAGTAACTAGCATTAAAGGTAGGTTGAGATAAAGTTTTAACTAAAACTGCTTTGCTGTATTTTGCAGATCATTACTGGGTTGACAGGAGAGATGAACCGTTTATATACAATGTTTACTCAGCGAAATCCTTATTTTGAGGCTAATGGAGGCAAAGTGTCAATGGTTGCTCACTCATTGGGCTGTGTCATCACATACGACATAGTAACTGGTTGGAATCCTGCTCAGGAGTTTGATCGGCAGCTTGTGCAGTCTTTGGTTAGTGTCTGGTAATTTCTCTTTATCCCTCAGATTAACTGCAGTATAATTCTAGTGACCCCTCAATTTGTGTCCTTAAGACTGTAAATACAGTGGACCCCCGCCTTACAATATTATTTCATTCCAGAGGTCTGTTCAGGTGTCGTTACCGACCGAATTTGTTCCCATAAGGAATATGTGAATTAGATTAGTCCGTTTCAGACCCCCAAAAATACATGTACAAAAGCACTTACAAAAATACACTTACATAATTGGTCGAGTTGGGAGCTGATCGTAAGGCGGGGGTCCACTGTATTTGTTTACATTTCTGATAAAGCTAATCTTATTTTGATGTACAATAACTGTGTTCAAGTTTCATAGGCCACTAATAAGAATAGCGATCTTATCTGCCTAACCTCTATAGATCTTGGATCACTTTTCCACTCGGTTAATTATCTTTTTTTACACTGTCACATACACGTGGGCTTCCTTTGCTGACCCCCAGCATGGGCTCCAAGCACAATTAGACTGCCTGTATGTTTGATAAAAGCCTCATGTGAATTAGAGAATTCGCATTGTTTGTGTACATTCAGCTTGTTCCACTTTTGGAGGACTCTGATCTACATGCATTCTGCTTGGCACATAATCCATGTTCCAGTAGATTATCTTGTTCAATATGGTTAGCTGAACCTGCAGCAGATTTTTATGGGACTTGCACTATTGAAGTGTTGCTAATATTTTGGTGCCTGGCACTTAAATTTTTATTTTTAACACTTTGGCAGTCTCCTGAAGTAGGGTGACCCAACAAAGAAAGCACTTTCACCTTCACTCGTGCAATCACTGTCTTACCAGAAGGGCTCCAACATCACATTTCAGATGGACACTCCAAACCACAGCATCCTCACACCTTCAGAGTGCAGGCACAGTATTTCCTACCTTCAGGATTCTAATTTGGTTAACTGGTTTTCCTGAATCTCTTGTTAAATGCTGCTTAGTTTACACTCTAACAGCATGTCAAATCATAAAAACCACTTGCCTCCACTCTTAACATGCTCATACAACCCTTTTGGATGTTCAAATCCCTAGCAGTTGAAACCTCTTTTACCCTGTTCTTCAATTTTTATGTGAGATGATCCCAACCCTCCTTCCTTTCACCCCAGATTCATATTCCCTCCTAGTCATCCTTTTTTTTCTTCATCCTCTTAAATACCCTCTTCAAAAGCAGGCAGAGATGTCTGCTAGGAAAAGGGGCTAGATATACACCTGGTACTTTTCCCACTCATCTGTCTTGGCCATCCACCTCTACACTTTATGCATGATAGCCATGTGCTGTACTTGACATTTGAGTGGCAGGTTTCACTCACTGCTAACCATCCAACCACACACTCTCCCATAGCTCATTTGCACTGTTTATGGGATAAGATGGGACTTGAATCAGTTCTAGATTGGATTATATATAAAACACAACCCGCGCATAGAAGAGAGGAGCTTATGATGACGTTTCGGGCCGACTTGGACCATTTTGTTAATGGTCCAAGTCGGACCGAAACGTCGTCGTAAGCTCCTCTCTTCTATGTGCGGGTTATTTGTGTTTCGTTCCAGTCACGGTATTGTACCTTTTTTTGTTATTTATTGGATTATATATCTTTTGTTTGCTGGGAATATGAAGGTCACCATCTATACTACAAATCCTTTTATGAGACAAGACATACTATTAATTTTCTTCACTGAGAATGGGTTAGTTTCACAGCACCTTCATTCATTTGTTGGACTGTTAGTTGGGAATGATAGCTTCATTTTTTGAGTGTGTGATTCTGGCCCAGCTTAAGCTGACTAACTATATTTTATGGCTGAACAGAATTTTCAGGCCTTGCAAGATGCTATTACTGTGCTTGACTTACTGCTTTCTGGTGTGGGCTTTACTCAGGGCAGAGTACAGAGATGCTTTTATCTACTATTTCTGTATATTTGCTGGTTCCCATCTCTGGGATATGCCCATATGGAATCCACTGCCAGTCAACAGCTGCCTCTATCTTGGATACAGGTGGTATGATTCCAGGTGAGCCCCCCCCCCCCCAGGGCCTTTGTATTTGACAATGTTTCCCTCAGGATTCAGCTTTATCAAGTTGCTATTTTGAACCCTTTTATTTTGGCTGACAGCTGGGTTTGGAGCATTATAGAAGCCTCAAATTACTTGACTGTAACAAGGAAGCAATACCTAATGATCAAATGAAGGAGGTTATTACCTCTTTGGGGGCCTGAGAAACCAGCATTGGTGTGAAGGAAGTACAACACTCCAGGAGGACACCCAGGGCCCTTAATACAAAAAATGCGTTTTTTGGAACAAAAATACAATTTTTATATACTATGTAGCACTGTATGACCCTTATGGATTTAGTGCTTAATTGATTACAATATTATATTCGATATAGGTTATGGCAAAAAAAAATATCTCTGTCGGATGTACTTCTATAATTACCTAGTATTTGCATGTACAGTACATAGATTGGTGTAGTTATTACACTAACAGTGAATTTTTCAATGTGTGTTGCTAACATTCCCTATTTGGTGGTGGTATTAAGTTGAGCCTCTTAACTCTAGGAATGCAAAGCTCATTGCATACATTCCAATTTATTCTTTCTTCAGTATTATCACAGTATTATGACTTGCAACATCCTGTACCTGCAGCTCCTTTTTTAACTGTCTTGTTTATAATATGCTCTTATCACTTTGCATAATTCTATTATAAATACTGTACTGCATTTTAGCACTTGGTCCAGACTTGGTACATGTATGCTCCTTCCTGTGGTATGCTCAGTTTTAATCATCCTGTATAGTATTTTTATTCTGATTGTTTTTCTCCTCAGAACTCTGAAAGGAGGTGCCTTGATGCCAGTGAGGGGGGGGGGGGCTCTTGACTATGGAATATTTAACTGTCCTCTTTCTTGGATCAAACTTGATTACCTCCCATTTCCCATGTGCTGTATAACCCCTTTGGCTTTCATGCTTTCCCCTGATTATAATAATAATTATCTCTTCAGATTGAAAATATGAATAAAAGTAGTGAGCTGCAGAATGTTTCACAAATAATGCTTAAAAAAGCTTACAAGAGCTTCTCAAGCAACATGAATCTAAAAGTTGTCAGCCTTCCTTAAACTTCAAGGTGAGGAGAATTGTCTTTTCAAATGGATGATTATCTTATGCATGTTGTGTAAATTTTTTATCTCGTGGTCATATATCCCATTCCAATTGCGGCAGCAGGAAATTCTAACTTAAATTGGAATTTTACTATTTATCTCTTTTTATTTCATTTTGTTACTATATAATTAAGGTAGTAGGTTGGTAGACAGCAACCGCCCAGGGAGGTACTACCGTCCTGCCAAGTGAGTGTAAAACAAAAGCCTGTACAGTAATTGTTTTACATGATGGTAGGATTGCTGGTGTCTTTTGCCTGTCTCATAAATATGCAAGATTACAGGTACGTCTTGCTACTTCTACTTACACTTAGGTCACAATACACATACATGTACATATTTATTTATGCATACTCATCTGAGTTTTCTTTGATTTTATCTTGATAATTCTTGTTCTTATTACTTTTCCTTTTATATTCATGGGGAAGTGGAATAAGAATCTTTCCTCCGTAAGCCATGCATGCTGTAAAAGTCGACTAAAATGCCGGGAACAGTGGGCTAGTAACCCCTTTTCCTGTAAAAATTACTAAAAAGAATAAAAAGAAAGTTGTCAAAGTGAAATGTCTGAATGTGCGTAGATGTTGTGTGAATGATAAGAAAGAGATGATTGTGGAAGTTATGAATGAGAAAACGCTGGATGTCCTGGCTTTAAGTGAAACAAAGCTGAAGGGGGTGGGAGAGTTTAAGTGGAGAGGAATAAATGGGATTAGGTCAGGGGTTTCAAATAGAGCTAAAGAAGGAGTAGCAATAATGTTGAAGGATAAGCTATGGCAGGAAAAGAGGGACTATAAATGTATTAATTCAAGGATTATGTGGAGTAAAATAAAGGTTGGATGTGAAAAGTGGGTTATAGTAAGCATATATGCACCTGGAGAAGAGAGAGAGATTTTGGGAAATGTTGAGTGCATGGGGAGTTTTGAACCAAATGTGAGAGTACTTGAGGTTGGGGGATTTCAATGCTAAAGTGGGTAAAAATGTTGTGGAGGGAGTAGTAGGTAAATTTGAGGTGCCAAGGGTAAATGAAAATGGGGAGCCTTTAATTGAGCTATGTGTAGAAAGAGGTTTGGTAATAAGTAATACATATTTTATGAAAAAGAGGATAAATAAATATACAAGGTATGATATAGCACATAATGAAAGTAGTTTGTTAGGTTATATATTGGTGGATAAAAGGTTGATAGGTAGGCTCCAGGATGTACACGTTTATAAAGGGGCAACTGATATATTGGATCATTATTTAGTTGTAGCTACAGTTAGAGTAAGAGGTAGATGAGACAAGAGGAAAATGGCAGCAAGTAAGAGGGAGGTGAAAGTGTATAAACTAAGGGAGGAGGAAGTTCGGGTGAGATATAAGCAACTATTGGCAGAAAGGTGGGCTGGTGCAAGTATGAGTGATGGGGAGAGGGGGGTTGAAGAGGGTTGGAATAGTTTTAAAAATGCAGTATTAGAATGTGGGGCAGAAGTTTGTGGTTATAGGAGGGTGGGTACAGGAGGGAAGAGGAGTGATTAGTGGAATGATGAAGTAAAGGGTGTGATAAAAGAGAGAGAGGTAGCTTATGAGAGGTTTTTACAAAGCAGAAGTGTTATAAGAAGAGTAGAGTATATGGAGAGTAAAAGAAAGTCGAAGAGTGGTGAGAGAGTGCAAAAGGAGAGCAAATGACTGAGTGGGAGAGACACTGTCAAGAAATTTTAATGAAAATAAGAAAAAATTTTAGAGTGAGTTAAACAAGTTAAGAAAGCATAGGGAACGAATGGATTTGTCAGTTAAAAACAGAGTAGGGGAGTTAGTAGATGGGGAGATGGAGGTACTGGGTAGATGGTGAGAATATTTTGAGGAATTTTTAAATGTCGATGAAGAAAGGGAGGCGGTAATTTCATGCACTGGTCAGCGAGGTATACCATCTTTTAGGAGTGAAGAAGAGCAGGATTTGAGTGTGCGGGAGGTACGTGAGGAATTACGTAGAATGAAAGGGGGTAAAGCAGCTGGAACTGACATGGTCATGACAGAAATGCTAAAAGCAGGGGGGGATATAGTATTGGAGTGGTTGGTATTTTTGTTTAATAAATGTATGAAAGAAGGGAAGGTACCTAGGGATTGGCGGAGAACATGTGTAGTTCCTTTATATAAAGGAAAGGGGGACAAAATAGATTGTAAAAATGATAGAGGAATGAGTTTACTGAGTTATCCATGGGGAAGTGGAACAGAATTCTTCCTCCGTAAGCCATGCGTGTTGTAAGAGGCGACTGAAATGCTGGGAGCAACAGGCTAGTAACCTCTTCTCCTGTATATATTACTAAATGTAAAAGGAGAAACTTTCGTTTTTCCTTTTGGGCCACCCCTCCTCGGTGGGATACGGCCGGTGTGTTGAAAGAAAGAAAGAAGTTTACTGAGTATAGCAGGAAAAGTGTACGGTAGGGTTATTATTGAAAGAATTACAGGTAAGGCAGAATGTAGGATTGCGGATAAGCAAGGAGGTTTTAGAGTGGGTAGGGGATGTGTAGATCAGGTGTTACATTGAGGATAGTGAGGCTTAGGTTAGGGTGTGTAGAAGAGAGGGAGACTATTTTCCGGTAAAAGTAGGTCTTAGACAGGGATGTGTAATGTCACCATGGTTGTTTAATATATTTATAGATGGGGTTGTAAAGGAAGTAAATGCTAGGGTGTTCGGGGGAGGGGTGGGATTAAATTGTGGGGAATCAAATACAAAATGGGAATTGACAGTTACTTTTTGCTGATGATACTTTGGTTATGGGAGATTCTAAAGAAAAGTTGCAAAGGTTAGTGGACGAGTTTGGGAGTGTGTGTAAAGGTAGGAAGTTGAAAGTGAATATAGAAAAGAGTAAGGTGATGAGAGTATCAAATGATTTAGATAAACACAAATTGGATATCAAATTGGGGAAGAGGAGTATGGAAGAAAATGTTTTCAGATATTTGGTAGTTGACGTGTCAGCGGATGAATTTATGAAGGATGAGGTTAATTATAGAATTGATGAAAGAAAAAAGGTGAGTGGTGCGTTGAGGTATATGTGGAGACAAAAAACGTTATCTATGGAGGCAAAGAAGGGAATGTATGAAAGTATAGTAGTACCAACACTTATATGGGTGTGAGGCTTGGATTGTAAATGCTGCAGCGAGGAGGCGGTTGGAGGCAGTGGGGATGTCCTGTCTAAGGGCAATGTGTGGTGTGAATATTATGCAGAAAATTCAGAGTGTGGAAATTAGGAGAAGGTGTGGAGTTAATAAAAGTATTAGTCAGAGGGCTAAAGAGGTGTTGTTGAGGTGGTTTGGTCATTTAGAGAGAATGGATCAAAGTAGAATGACATGGGGAGCGTATAAATCTGTAGGGGAAGGAAGGTGGGATAGGGGTCATCTTTGAAAAGGTTGGAGGGAGGGGGTAAAGGAGGTTTTGTGGGTGAGGGGCTTGGACTTCCAGCAAGCGTGCGTGAGCGTGTTAGGAGTGAATGGAGACGAATGGTATTTGGGACCCGACGTGCTGTTGGAGTGTGAGCAGGGTAATATTTAGTGAAGGGATTCAGGGAAACTGGTTATTTTTATATAACCGGACTTGAGTCCTGGAAATGAGAAGTACAATGCCTGCACTTTAAAGGAGAGGTTTGGGATATTGGCAGTTTGGAAGGATATGTTGTGTAACTTCATACGTATATGCTTTTTAAACTGTTGTGTTCTGAGCACCTCTGCAAAAACAGAGATTATGTGTGAGTGAGGTGAAAGTGTTGAATGATGATGAAAGTATTTTCTTTTTGGGGATTTTCTTTCTTTTTGGGTAACCCTGCTTCGGTGGGAGACGGTCAACTTGTTAAAAAAAAAAAAAATTATGTTGTCAAAAAGGAATGTATTAATATTTACAACCTTCTCGATATTAGTGCTTCACTTCCATATGGCAAAATCTTCCAAAATCTGACTGTGCTGTTTATTTCATTTTTCAAACTCAAAATTACTTTTATAACGTGTAGAGGTCTTTGCTTTGTGCAGAAAGTTGCACCAAGTGTGTAGCAAATATTGAGTGTGTATTATCATGATGCACACTCAATGTTTGTTTACAAAACTGAAAAAAAAGAGCAAAATGGCGTGAAAACTTGGTAAAATAGTACGTACTGTTTTCCAAAGGAACTTCACCTTGGAACTTAACGATGAAAAGAACATACTACAGTGGCAGTAAAGTTTTAACGTACTGGGAATGCTTCAAGGTACTTGGAATCTATTCTCAGGAGTGAAGACAAGAGAGATATCTAATAATATAAGTATACCATTCAGAACAAGCCACATGGGGATAAAAATCTTTAGCTCAAGATCTTTCACACACACACACTGTGTTGTCAGGAGTTATGCAGTGTTACAAGATCAGCAACAGAAAGTAGGTGGGGGGAAAATTCTTGATTAAATGGTTGTATGAATTCCGGTGTTGAACACAGGCATTCCTTAATGACTGCAGCAAATTACACATGGGCAAAACATCCAGAGACCTCCGAACACGTATTTCACAACACCAGTACAAAGGCAGATCTGACAATTTAAGGAATGCCTGTGTTCAACACCGAAATTCACACCCATTTAATCAACTACAGAAACGCAAGACGTAAGTAAGTAAATTTATTCAGGTATACACAAATAGTTACATAGAATTATCATACATAGCAGCATATGTGTAGAGACCTAGGATAACCCAAAAAAGTCAGACAGAGTGACTTATAGCCAGAGAAGACAACACTCAATACCAAAGAATCCTGGAATCATCACTTATCTGTATATCTAACAGCTTCAACCAAAACAATAGCTTCTATAACATAGCTGATCTCCTTGCCAAGAAACTTCATCACTATCCCATATAAGAACATAAGAATGGAGGAACACTGCAGGAGGTCTACTCATATACTTTCCCAATCTCTTTTTAAAGCTACCCAAAGTCCTAGACTCTATCACACTACTCAGAAGATTGTCACATGCAGC